GTCAGCCTCACCTCAGTCCCTGGAAAAAAAAAAATCAAGGAGCAGGTCCTCAAGGAATCCATTTCTAAGCACTTGGAGGAGAAGAAGGTGATTAGGGATAGTCAGCTTGGATTCATCGAGGGCAAATCATGCCTGACCAAACCAATTACTAGGGCTGTGCAAAATTTCACCAGCTGTTTCAATTCAACACTGTTTCAACTCATTTCAAGTTCGACACAGCAAAACTGAATGGAAACAAAGAGCTTCAAAACATGCTTAAAACAAAACAAGGCTAGTCGAAACATTTCAATAGTTTTGAAAGGTTTCAAGTTTTGAAGCAGCCAGCAGTGAGGTGGTGGGAAACAGGGAAGAACCAGGGCTGTGCTCCCAGCAATACCCAGGAGCACAGCTCTGGCTCTCCCTATCTCCCACCAGGCTGCAAGAAGCTGATCACAGCACTGGGGAAGGGAACTGAGCCTGGGTTCAGTTCCCTTCCCAAGCACTGCGATCGGGCTGGGGAACGGAACAGAGCCCAAGTGTGATGGTTGAGCTGGGGCAGGGGTTGGGAACTCAGCCCAATTGAGCTGAGTTCCTTTCCCAAGCCTGATAGTCCGGCGAAACATTGAAACAGCCTCACTGTTTCGATGAAGCGAAACGGAACAGCTGTTTTGACTCGAAATGAAATTCAAAACAAAACACTGTTCCAGCCAAACCTCCAAACTGAAGTTGAAATGGAACAGTGCCGTTTCTCACAGCCCTACTGATTACCTTCTATGATGAGATGCAGGGAGAGGAATGCACATGATTTACCTTGACTTTAGCAAGACTTTTGATACGGTCTCCACAACATTATTGCAAGCAAGCTAAGGAAATACAGGTTGGATGAATGGACTGTAAAGTGGATAGAAATCTGGCTGGATCATTAGGTTCAGAGGGCAGTAATCAAGGATTCTATCTAGCTGACAGCCGGTATCAAGTGGAGTGCACCAGAAGTAGGTCCTGGGGCTGGTTTTGTTCATTATCTTCATCAGCAATCTGAAATATGGGATGGAGTCCACCCTCAGCAAGTTTGCAGATGACACCAAGATGGAGTAGGGCTAGGATTCTGAGAGGATATCCTCCAGATACGCTGGAGGGTAGGACTAGGATTCAGAGAGACCTACACAAATTGGAGGATTGGACCAAAAGAAGTGTCATGAGGTTCAACAAGGACAAGTACAACATCCTGCATTTAGGACAGAACAGTCCCATGTACCAGTACAGGCTGAGGATTGACTGCCTAAGCAGCAGCTCTTCAAAGAAAGACCTGGGGGTTACAGTGGACTGTAAGCTGAATATAAGCCAACAGTGTGCCCTTGTTGTGAAGAAAGCTAATGGCATGCTGGGTTGCATCAGAAGGAGTATTGTCAGCAGACCAAGGGAAGGGATTCTTCCCCTCTATTTTTATCATGGGTGAGGCCACATCAGGAGTTCTGCATCCAGTTTTAGCCCTCCCACTACAGAAAGGATGTGGAGAAATTGGAGAGTCCAGCAGTAGGAAATAAAAGTGGTCAGGGCGCTTGGGCACATGGCTTCTGAAGGGAGGCTGAGGGAACTGGGCTTATGTAGTCAGCAGAAAAGACTGAGGGGAGATTTAATAGCAGCCTTCAACTACCGGAATGGTGGTTCCAAAGACAACGGAGCTAGACTGTTCTCAGTGGTGACAGATGACAGAACAAGGAGCAACTGTCTGAAGGTGCAGTAAAGGAAGCTTAAGTTAGATAATAGGAAAATCTCTCCCATGAGGGGGATAGTAAAGCACCAGAACAGATTACCCAGATAGGTTGTGGACTCTCCATCCTTGGAAGTTTCTAAGACCCAGCTAGACAAACCTTAGCTGGGCTGATATAGAAGGGGATGGCCCTGCTTCGAGCACGGGTTGGACTAGACCTTCCAAGGTCCCTTCCTATCCCAATTTTCTATGATTCTAAGAAAAGCAACTGAAAAAAAACTGTCAACAGTTAGTTGCTGGTACCTATAAGTGGTGCTTATCTATTTATAAGTGGGGAAGATGGACAATACAAGTACTACATTTCACAAAAAAATTCTCCCTATTTTTAGCTAACAAATGATGGCTTTGGTTTGAGATCTAGATACGTGCAACATCAAGAGAAGTTAATATTCATTCAAGGTTACAATCGATGCCTTTTAAATAATCAACACTTAAAAAAAAAAAAAGCTGTATTTCAAGTGTTATTTTGTATAAATTTTGCCAGGAATTTTTTTGGGGGGGGTTTAAAAGAAGTCTGATCTACTCCAGCTGCTTTGTTAAAAAAAAAGAGAAAGTAATGATTACTTTTGCATCCACTTTAAGAGATCAGAAGCCAACTGTATAAGCCACTAGCAGTATAAATGATATTTTAGTTCTTATTTAAAATAAATTAAATGGAAAAAGCCAGTTTTAATTCAGCCATCATACTTTTTTGTACTAACATTTTTGCAGTGCTTGACAATAGTTAATAAAATGCTTTTAATATTGCCTAACATGTTGCAATTTAGCCCTTCTAAGTTATGCCAGACTTTCCGCAGTTCCTTCTCCAAAGCCCATTGACTAGTTGAAAAAAAAATAATAATAATTTATAGTCATCTCCTAAAAATGATTTAAACTGAAATACCAAAAAGTTGTGAGTTTCCAAGCCTTCTATCCATAGTGCATTCATTTAGAAAATATTTTGATGACAGGTAATCCTAAAAGAAAAGCAGATATACAGTATGTGTAACTGGCCAAGTTCAAAGTTTTCGGGGGGAGAGGTATTCAGACATCACATACTTTAGCAGTTAAGAGTATCAAATTTCCTTATTTCTGATTTCACAGGATGCTGAATGTATATTTATTATCCAGACATGTTTCCTGAAAAGGTAAGTATAAAACACTGAGAAAATCCCTGAGCAATTATCTAGGCCATGTCATTTGACTTTTTCCAAATACTCTTTTTGTTTCTCACTTTAAGGGATTCTTCATCTACCTGAAGATAGGAAGATAAACATAGATAGGAGGAAAACAAAGGTTTTCCCTTCCAGCATGTGTAAGGATTTAAAAAATGTCAATAATTAGTATTTAAGTTTTCTTTTCTGAAGAATGCAACATCAAGAAATTTATTTCTCAACTCTGCCCAAAGAAGTGCTTAAACATGAAGTACAAAGTCACCATTTCATTATTCTTCTCCTAACAAATCTTACCTTGTAATAGTATTCTGCATTCACTAGTTATCTTTTACTGAGGGAGTATAACTTCGTATTTCCATTCCAGTGGAGGTAATCCAAGATAGTGTATTCTATTCTGTCATTAGGAGAGTCAATAATGAGTTATTTTGCTGTTAATATTTTTAATTAGAAAATTGGTCTTTTAATTCAAGTTGAATATCGGAATTATGGAGGCATTCTATGATGGCCTGAAACAAAAAAAGGTAGCCCAATGCATGGTCAAGTACTACATAACTCTCTGTAACAAACTCTTGAAATTCCTTTAAAAAATTAGTATCTTAAGGATTTCCATAGATTTCATAGATTTTTAGTCAGAAGGGACATTGGTAGATCATCGAGTCCAACCCCCTGCCCTGGGTAGGAAAGTGTGCTGGGGTCAGATGACCCCAGCCAGGTGCTTGTCCAGTCTCCTCTTAAAGACAGGGCCAGCCCATAATTTTGTGGGGGGCCCATAGCTTTGGGGCCCCCCTGACATGAAGGGGCAGCGGGGGGGGTGACAAGCGCAGAGTTTCTAACTATTATGTTGGTCTAATAAAAGATATCACATGCACACAGATCACCCCCGCCCTACAGACAGCCCTCCACCCTCTCCACCTCTCACCCCCGTACCCCATTTAGATCACAGGTGGGCAAAAACTGACCCACCAAGGGATTTTATTCAGCCTGCTGTGGGTCCTTTTGCCCTGCCTGGCCCAGGCACAGGGGGCAGGCTGGGCTGTGGTGCATGGGACCAGTTGCACCATTGCCAGGTGTACAGCAGGGCTGAGGCAATGTGGTGGCTGGATTCAGCTTCTCAGCAGCCCCAGTGGCAGCAGGTCCTTCTGGGTTCTGCTGTCAGTGTCACCACTACCAGTGAATCCAGCCCCACTATCCAGGCACCCAGCCCATCCACCCTGCACCCACCACTGGGAACACCAGTCAGAGCAGGTGGGCAGGGTCTCCATGGAGACCAGCCTAGGATGGGCAGGGCACATTCGGCTGAGCAGATGGGCTGGGGCCATGGATGGGCATGACCAGGGCCACGATCACAGGATAGAATCAATTGCAACCCCCCACCCCGTGCCAGGTCAGTACGCCAGTGCTGGGTCAGATCAGCAGCCCCACCCTTCTCCCCCCGCAAAAGCTCACCAAAATTCCTTAAGTGGCCCTCCAGACCAAATAATTGCTCACCCCTGATTTAGATGGCTATTTTCCCATACTATGCCTTAATACACACTGATAACATATACACCCACAATCCTATAACAGTCAACAACAATGGAACTTGGAGTAAATTTATTATTTTCAGATGCACGAGCAGACCTGTTAGGTAGCATCAGTGGCCCTGCATATAATAGATCTAACATTAAAAGATTAAGACCTAGACAGTAATGTAATGTGAATGTGGGGAACATTTATACAACTGCAGCATCCATTACAAAGGTAACAAGGTCTACCAAAGTCAACCAATAAGGACTAGTATACTAAAAAGAAATGTCACCCTGATAACATCAGACAATAAACTGAAATTTAGACTGGCATCTTATGAGCTTGAATAAACAATTGTGAAATTTCAAGTATGCTAGGAAAATGAAAACAATTATTAATTATTTCAAGTTATAAAACAATGACAATTATGTTTAATACAGTCTCCAACTAGTTATGGCAAGTCCACAGCCATAGTTTCTCTGAAGGCCTGTTCAAATTATAGTTTTACAATATTAAAAATAAGCTTTAAAAATATTAAAGAAGTTAGAAGACTTCAGATTTTGTAAGAAGAAGAAAAGAAGTACACTTACAGCCGTTCAAGTTGCTTTAGATCCTGAAAAGCTCCACGTTCTATCACACTGATTTGATTTTCTTCCAAATGCCTGTGATAACAGAAATATTGAATGTTAATCATAAGACTAGAATAAAATATTACCTAGATAGAAAGTTCTCTCATTTCTTTTCATGTTTTTTTTAAAGTGAAGTTCACAGCAAATAGCAATTACAGTAAAAGTGACAGTTATAAAAGATACCTCTACAGACTACAACTATTCAGTATCTTTCCATGATCACTTCTACCACTGTCAGAAGAGACCAATTTAAGGTCTAGAAAGCACAAAAACTGCTAAATTTTACATGGCTGCATACTGTATTAGAAATGATAAGGCTGGTAACCACACAAGTGTTTTTAAATTTTTATAATCCAAACCAATTAAAATTTTGTAATGGGTTTGTTTATATGCCCAATTCTACCACCCCTACTTCATTAATTTATATATTCTATATAAGGATAGAGGAATGAGGCCTGCAGTTGACATCAGGAGATTAATGCAAGGCAAAGAATCAAAACCAAGCATTAGGACTACTTGTACACTGCATCTGAACAAGTTTTCAGTCTTGGCTAGAAGTGGCTTATAAGTTAGTTGATTCCCACTGGTCTGAACTTCTAAAGCATGCAAATATCCAGCAGCTTGTGACTACTGAAAACAGTCTATCTGCAGTATGAGTTATTGAAAAAGGTGCCAAACAAAGGGCTGAACTCCTGTTTTCCCCACCATGTCTCCCACTAACTTCAACAAGACTGCAGAGAGGTGGAGGTACTAGACAACACTGGATACAGAACAGAAGTGGATATGGGGAACAGCCAGACTCCCAGTACAGAAGCAGTCCCTCAGTAAGGCCTGAAGAAAGAGAGCACAGAAGCCAGTGGATCCTTTAAGCCAACTTTCTGGCTTGTTTTTGTGCTCCAAAAGTAGCTCCCCTGGCAGGGTATCCATTTCTTTGCTCCCACAGGAATGCTCAAGGCAGTAATAGATCTTAACTTCTCTCCTGTCACATGGATCTACCAGGGAAGTGAAAGGAAATAAATAAAATCTATGATATCTGGGCAGAAAAGGACTATAAGCAATAATTGAAGCTCTAACCACTATCCTACTGCTAGCAGCTGTCCCTCTTCACCTAGCCCATCTCAGGATAATTCAAATAATTAGGAGGTGGATCTTGGAAAGAGACAGTCGACAAATAGGTAACTAAAGAGATAGTGGTTGAATAGCAACAATGAGACTGCATATTATAGGCAGGAAAAAAATCAAGGTCTGACACCAGGTCTAGATGGAGCAAACCATAAGGGAGAGGGGGGAAAAAAGACTGAACGAGTAAGAGGAACAAAGGCAAAATTACAGGAGTAGGTGAACAAGTACTTGCAAAGAACGTTTTTTTTCACCCACGCTGGCAGTACAGGGAGCACAGATTCCTGTGCTGGATGATGATTCTTTATACTCCTTACAAATACCAAAACTGCATACTTTCTCCTTTAATATCCCCAAAGGAAGGTTTGTTTCCAAGTATATATCATATGAAGAGCAGCAGAAGAAAAGAGCCAAATCATGAAGTGAACCAAGTAGGACAAGGAGCCAGAACTGGAAAGAAGTAAACAAAAGGAAAAAAAAAAACCCAAAAAACTGGAAAACGATGGAAAACCTGTAGACAGGCTAAGAGTAGGGCTTCATAGGGTGCAAACAAGAGTTCACTACACCTGGTACAGCTGTAGGTGGCTTACTTTAAAATACCTACACTTAGATTGGGTGCAGGCAAGTGTAGGAATATGCCACTGCCAAGAGCCATTCGCTTCTCCCTGGAGCCATGTAAGGAACCCAGGGTGGTAGGAGGGGCAGGAGGCAGAGGGGTTAGTGGGTCTGCAGTGAGTTTGGCAGGGGCTGTTGGGTCTGCAGGAGAAGAGAAGGGGAATGAAAGCAGCCCAGTCAGGGTTTGGAGGGCGGAGTAGGTGCAAGGAATAGTAGAGCCCTAAGGCTGGGGCAAGCAGATAGGCTTTCCCAGCCCTAAGGCTGCGCTGCAAATACACACAGGTGTTCAAGACATTGTATTAACCCTATTTCCATCTAATTAGTGCACCTACTCAGATCCCCTAACTTAACCCTAGTTGGGTCGATCTAAATTTAATACCTGTACATACCCATAAAATCACAGAAATGCAAGAAAGACCTAGAAGTGCCCAAGAAATTGAGGAAGGGAGGCAGGGGAACAACATAAACCCCAGGATGTTACTGTTAAGACAAAGAGAGGCACAGTAACCAGAAATAGAAGGAGAAGTTGGAGACCATGGACTAGGCTCATGTAGGTGTCACATACCAATGCTACACATAGGAAGGCTGCAAACCAAAAGTTAAGGCACAGCATCAATGTATATTAATTTTAAAAAGTTTCTCTCTCCAGCAGGTTCAGTAGTATCTCCCATGCAGGTCAACAAAACCAACTGTTCCCTCATATAGATGCTTATAGACTGACTAAGCCCTGAACCTCCTTGATGTTAAAAGAAAGTAGACAGAACTGGGTGCCACAGGGTACTAAGCCCTCCAATTCTGATCCACCAGAGCAAACGAGAATGTTATAAAAGCAAGCATATATTCTTTCCTTGCGGTTAGTCAGCCTTTGTATGAGCTCCAGTGCACACTTAATTGCAGCCAGACCATTCAGGCCTTGAAGTATCCAGTTTGAGCTACTGCCATCCATCTTTCACAATATTAATGTTACAATACACAGAAGAATTCTTGGAATAAAACTAAATATGATGCCTCTCTAACTTACGGAACCATGAAAAAAAACCCACTGAAATTGCTTCATTTTTCTTTAGAAATGCTGCTTTTCAAAGTTCTTCTTTCATCTTCAGCAGTGATATTTAACCTTGCAGACCTTAAAGCAACAAGAATTCCTACTGTTTGCAACAGACGTTATGGAAATGGGAATAATGATGGAGAAAAATCTGATATGTAGTCTTCCTACTTTTAAGATAGATTAGTGTCTATATAAAAGTCTTACTGAAAAGATACTTGAAATTTTATTTTGCCTAATAGTTTTTTTTATGAAAATATACATATTCTTAAACTCAATTTGGTAAAGCTAGTTTTCCTTATATATTTGAATAATAGACCAGGATAAAATACACGCAGTCTACTGTTGGTGCCAGACACCATGTTGGGTCTGATTCTGCATCTAAACAGATCTCACAACTTTTATGGGTTTACTGTACTAAATAAATACTAGTCAATGAAATGGCTGCACAATCACGTCAGATACAGATGAATTTTTTGCTCTATAGCTTACAGCTAATGAAATATGATGACCATTCAAATAGTAATCCAATTGAAGTGATGCAACAGTCAAATGAAGTAACTATACATATAAGTAACACTGATTTTGTCAGATTGTAACTACATTACAGGAATGGTACCATTTAGCCAGTATGTAGATAGTACTCAAAGAAAAAAAACCAAAAAAACCAGTTATCGACAATCATACTACAATGTTGGTATCATTTTAAGAGAGATCCTATAGTAATACTGAAAGCTGGGATACATACCAATGACTCCAGTCTATTAGTTTTATCCTATGGGGAAGCACACAACACTATTGGGGAAGAAAGTAGTAGTTGTAGTACAGTATGAATCTCTGGTGCACTTTTTGAAGGAACAGAAGACAACATCTGCATTTTCATTATGTTAGTATTCAATACCGTTCATTAGTTTGCAATGTTAGAAAAATCAACGCAACAAATACATGATTTGCGTGATATAGGATGAAGTTTTAAAATAATGGAATAAAAACTGCTATCAGCTTTTTAAGTTAGTTGTAGAGGACAAGTATATGAAATTGGAAGACTTATTTCTTTTCACTTTTGGTTTATACATGCACCACTGACTGCTGCTTGTTCAGGTAAACAGGGAAATAGTAACTTTACCCTCCTGCAGCCATCCTCCCCCATAACACCTTTCTTACCTTCCTTTTTGGAAACTTCTGATCTGGATAAAAACTTTAGCACTTCAGTCCCCAGTATTAGATTAATCTGAAACCTATCCAAACAATTTGGATTTAGTTCTGCAAAATTTGGCTAGAAAGCCTTGGAAAAAAAAATAATGCCCATTAAAATCTTAAACGTTTCCCAATTTTACTGAAAAGCTTGGACATACTACAAAAAGAGAGTCATGTTTTCAATCAATTTGTTCCAGTCAAAAGGCAGAGGCAGAAAGCTAATAAACTGAAATAAACTTTATGAAAATCCAAGAACTAAAGAGTATTTTCCCCATTCAAAGCTAATGATACTTTGACAGTGTGTGACTTACTGCTACTAAACACTCTTCCAGTCTCACCCAAACCACCTCTGACAACCCTGCTGCCACAACTGAAAAGACCAACAACACTGAAACAACAGACTGGACACCTCCCACCAGATGGACTACTACATCAACTGTTTCAGGAAGAAAGCTCACAGTAATATTCTCAACAAAAGCCAGGACCACAACAAGCTTTCTCCTTCAGAGAAAAGCTAGACAGTCCCTAAGATCCAACACTGAAACAGTAATCAAACTACTGAACAAAGGTGGAACTATAGTCATCCTCAACCATCAAGACAACAGACAACTCACTGACACTAAATATTATAACGAACTTGGGGAGGACCATAATTATACCAGAATTTGCTCCGGAACTGGAAAAATATAATCAAATCCTTCCCACACCAGCTTCAGGAAAAACTACTTCCACTTATCCCCCAGTCTCCCACCTACCCCAGGAAATTTCTTTGTTTCCAAAGATTCACAAGTAAGGTTACAATTGATAGTGGGAACCTAAACTGTTATAAACTGATCAGGTAATAGCCATGACTAGGGTTTTTATCATAAGTATTTGGCCAGGAGCTTTGGACTGCTTTCTTTAGATGTGAACTTTATAATTGTCAAGTATTCCACAGTCGCCCTTTCCACATGTAGTCATCTCTGTAAACAATTCAGAAACTCAAAGCACCAAAGATAGCTCAGAGATAAATTGATTTAATTAATTTACAAAGCATTCTAGAGTAGAAGAACAGCTTTTACCATAAATGCTTATTTAAATAAAAGCAAGAAGCAACCAAAGAAATAGCACTGAATCTAAGTTTAGATGTAAATTTTCTCTACAGTATAGCATGGGGTCAAAATTAATGTTTTGTTTTTTTTTTGGGGGGGGGGGGGGGTTATGTTTCAGTGAAGTTGTGTAGTTACCCATTATAGACTATGTATACAGAAGACAAAAATAGAATAAATTATCACTATGTATCATTTCAGGTGCTTATATTTTGAAGACTAAAAGTCTATGAAATATTTTCATGTAAACTTAGTCTGATACTCACAAAACACGGAGGTTCTTCAGCCCAGAAAAGTCTGTCTTAGCAATTCTTGTGATATTATTTTTTTCTAAATCACTGCAAATAGAAATAAACAGAAAATTTGTTATTAGAGTAGATATCAAAAATGCAGTTAAGACAAAGTAAACTGTAAAATCAGAAACTTGTTTATCATCTCCCCAAGCTAGACAAACTATTTTTTCAGTTATAATCTGAATAGGTAAATAACAAATCAAATGCATTTTGGTCTCACCCTGCTTCTCCCTTATATCATGTGCTTTTTCCCTTCATTTTTGGAGATGGGAATACAATGAGATTTGAGTTCCTAACCCTTAAGGTTGGGATTTCTAAGGAAATCCAAGTGGTTTGAAGAATAGTCAGTCACTATACTACAACTGAACGAAATGCCTGGGTATTCCAGACAGCTCTAGTAGCGTGCTGTGCCTCCTCATCAAGCTGTAGGACAAGTAGGGGTGCGATACCATGGAACCAGCCCAGGTATGAAGTCACAACAGGTGCCAAAACAGCAGCCTCCAAGGAACCCAAACTGTCACAGTAACTGCTACTCTTGTGCAAGGAGACAAGCGCCCACACCTCGCATGTGCCCACACCCTGCAGCCTATCCAGAGCCCTAAATTCTCTAGTTATGCATTTGTCAGCAAGAACAGCCCTGCACATCCATTAAACACCAAACTTACTCCAGTTCATGACAAAACAATATACTGCACAGGCAATACTAAATAAGTACTTGTAAGTACAATACTAATTAAGAAAGATATGCTGGGACTAGCAGAATGGAATGGAAAGGTTAGGTTCAAATTTGATTAGAGAAACCTGGTCTCTACTCATGCATGAGGAGCAATCTTGCCAAGCAAAGCCATCACTTAGGTATCCCTGGACTCTTCACCTATGGCAACTTCATCTCTTTGCAGATGACAAAACAGCAGATGACTTGAAAAAGATCCTGCCACCAGGCTGTGGATGGGCTTGCTCTGGAAAGTCTCATACTTTGTCTGTTCCTCCAACCCCATTACTAAGTTCTTTGCCAGCCAGTTCCTGTGTCCTCAATTACATCCCAATGTTTTAGACCCTAAATACCTGCTCGCCGATCTCTCTATAGTAGACAAATGAGAAGTCGTTGCCTCTAACCTTCTGTTTCGGCCTCAAAGGCTATTCTCAGCAAGTCACATCCCTTTCTGTTCAAGCAACATGGATCTAGCAATGGGATAATATAGGGAACCTGGTAAAACTGCACCTTGGAAGTGCTTTTCCTCTAATTCATTCTGAATGTTAAGGAGAAACAATTAATCTTTTACATTAAAAGACATCCTTTTCTTGGAATACAATTTCTTCTCTTTACTTCAGTAACAAAGCTAAAGTCTATACAAAAAGTCCTAATCTACAAGATTAAGTCAAGATAGTCATCTTTAAAATGTTGCAACTTTAAACAATAAATGATGTTTTATTAATTTTACCTTCTTATCTTTAAAGTTTGTATTTTCAAGCATTATTATGGCACACCAAGGGCTATAAGAAATAGCTCAAAATTCACAAAATTATAAGGCTCCAGAGGGTCAGATTTTAACGTGTGAAAACTAAGTATCAGTCTGCAACATTAAGAAACCAATCATTTCATTGGAAAAATAGTTTGAGTATTTCTTTAACTACAGAGATACAAGTCAGTGTGGAGGTGGTAACTGGGAATGTCCTAACAGCAATTATTTACTGACCATTATTCATAGAGAAGTAAAGCTGGAAGGGTCCACAATAGATCATCTAGTCCAAATGGGGATCAAACCTGTGACCTTGAAGTTATTAGTACCATGCTACTAAAAGACATCACAGTACAACTTCACGACCAGGGATCCGGGTTTTCTGTTCACCACAGAAAAATGAATATTTTCTCATTTTGAGCAGAAAAATGTGGATTTTTTTTCTTTAAAGGAGAAAAACCATGAGAAATGGTGGGTTTCCCTTGCAGGCTGGCTGAGTTCCAGCCTGCAAGAGGCTGGGGGTGCAGGAGGAAGGTAATCAGGCAGGGGGCACTATAGATATGTGCATGCAGACACATGCATGTGGCAGCCAGGCAGCATGGACAGCAGCTCCCCACTGGTAAGACTAGAGGGGTGGGTAATTGAGGCCCCCACAGGGAGGGAGTTGGGCAGGGCTGGAGCTGGGGGCACTACCCAGCTGGGGTGGCACATGGGGGCCCAAGGCCAGAATGTACAGCTGCAGAGCCTGGCTGGGGAGTGGGATGGAGCTGTGGGCAGCTTATCCAGGGGCTGACAGGGGTGCTGGCTCCCCGCCACTGTGCACACTGCCCTGGGGAGATATGGCATGCACATGCCCCCCAGGTATGTGCAGGGGTGAGGGCAGATGCGGGCTGCCTGCTGTGGTATTAGGGCTCCCTGCACTGCTGCCCTCCCTTTGGGGGCCTCCATGGTCCAGCGGGAAGAACCTGGCACAGCAGAGCAGGGTGAGGAGGCTTGGTGCCACTGCTGGCAGCCCCACACTGCCATGGCAAGGAGCCCCCTTCCCCCCCAGTAGCAGGGGGTATGGCAATGCAGTTGTGCCCCCTGCTGTTGCTAGGTGGGCAAGGGGTGCCTTGCCATGGTGCTGTGGGGCTTCCGGTGGTGACACTAAGTCTCCCTGCCCTGTTCTGCCCTCCTGCACCAGGTTTTGCCTGCTGAGTCAGAGGGGGGGGGGAGGAGCATCAGGGTGGGGAGCCCCAAGGCCACAGCAGGTAGCCTGCATCCTCCCCACCTATGGGCTCCACTCCAGCAGTGCAGCCCAGGAGGGAAGGGGATCTGGGCTCTGCGCCCTGCTTGGGTCACAACAGATGCTGCTTCCCAGGGACAGCAGCTGGCACTTGGGTGCTGTGGACCCAGATCCCTGGCCCTGTAGCTCCAGCAGCTGGGCCCTGCCCCACCTCCAGCAGGGCTAGCAGGGTCAAGGAGCTGTGAGTGGGGAGTGAGGGGCAATGGTGTGTGCAAGGCACTGGCATATCAGGGCTGCTCAGTGCCACAACACAGTGGAGAGAGACAGCCACAGCTGGACCCAGGTCCTGGTAAACAGAGGGAGCAGGAAGGGCTCTGATTTTCTATAATGAACCCCCCAGAAATCAAATGCCAAAATGTATAGGGATTTAGAACTTATTTTAATTATAGTGATTGAGGCTTCCAAATTGCTTAAAAATAGTAAATATATCAATAAAATATTGTGTTCAACTGATACACACACACACACACACACACACACACACACACACACACAGAGTAATGTTTCATTTTAAACATGGGAAAATGTAAAAGGGGGGGGTGTTACTCAGATAATTTGGGATTTTTAAACACACAAAACCAGGATCCCCATTTATTACAACAAATCCCCAAAGGATTAGGAGTAAAATTCATTAAAAGAGGTGTTTACTATAATGCAGCTTGTCCTTTTGCTGCTTTATAATAAAAAATGGTTTATCCTGTTGGAATTGTTCAGAGTAGGCATTTGCTATAATCAGGACTCATTAGTTGTACTGTATATTCACAACCCAGGACCAACCTTTCAGTGTGTATGTAGTAGCACTGTGTTCACAACATGAAAAATTAAGTGTTAGTGTTGAGAAAGTTCTAATGATCTACCTCACTGAACATATCTCTTGAAAGTTATTCATATGGCATTTGCAGAGGAAGAGAGATGCCACTGGCACTGTTCTCAGCAACTTCCTATCCCACGCACAGATGCCACACAAGCCACCTGGTATGGATGCCTGTTATGCTGAACCTTGTTCACCCCACTCTAGGCCTTATTAGTAGCATAAATCTAAAGTAAAAGGAGAGAGATAAGTTGCAATGTGTTTCTCAAGTGTGCAGACAGATTCCTCCATTATATTTCCATTTTATTTTCAAGATAAGGGCATACGTTTCTTGTTCTGTGGCCATGAACTGATATTTATTTAAAGCACTCACTAGAATTTCTGCCATAGCAAACTTCTCCGCTTTCTAGTCCAAATCATAATCACTCCCAAAAGACAATTATGTAATGTAAAATAAATTTTGTTTTTTATTTTTTTAAGGTTTTATGGAGTGCTTCATGTCCACCAAAAGCAAAGAAAGTTCGTAACAAATTCTACTCTTTCTTTTGCTACTCCAAACCTCACACTGTTTAGATAACTAAGCGACATAGTGATGATACACAGGAAGGTTATAAACTAACTATGGGTTTTCAGTGATATTAACTAAAAGCAAAGAATGCCTTTAAAAGATTTGACTTTTAACAACTCACTTTTAGTACTTTTTTTTTTTTTTTTTTTACATATGAGCTTTCTATGCATCATTGTAAAATACAATATTTTTTAAAAGACTGATAAAAAGGTTTACCGTCAACACTGAAAGCCTTAAACAAGGAGTGCAGTTTGGAATTAGACCCACATACTATCTGACCTACCAAAAATCACATCATCCTTTTGCTGGAGATCTTTATTGTGAATGCTAAATATCAGGAATCATATCCATGAAGCACATGGATTACTGAAGACAAATGAAAGATCTACTGCTATTCAAAAAAAAAAACATCTTTAAAAACAGGATATTAGTTATTTAAAAGTATTGTACTAGGTGGCCCATATAATACACTCTATTTATTTCTGACCTGAAACCATATTCCTTGGTAATCGGAGGAAAAGATGCACTGAAATTCTCAAATTGTGCTGGCTCCAGTATCAAGAATCAAAGTACTCTACTGCCAAACTGAGAAACATCACCTAAAACACAGACATGGTATCTTCAAATAAAGAATCCATACCTTCCTGCTCCAAAAGTAGGGTTTTTTGTTTGTTTGTTTTTTTACAGCAAAGGTTGTGGATATGAAGGCATTGTATCAGTTGCCTTCAGAAACATTTCATTTTTAGTTTTTACTATGGTTTTAGGGTTTGTTTTTTACAGCAAAACTCTATAGGAAGATAAGCTCCAGGTTGCAGATTCAAATTTCAGCTACATCTTTCTTTTTCAAGATATAGCTTGAAAGAAAGTAGAATAAATTTAGGTTGCTTTCAAATCCTTCTTTTCAAAGTTATGGTAATTTTC